AACTAGTGAAAGACAAAGCATAACTAATATGAGAGTTCGTTTTTTTATTTATATAATATTTATGGATACTACAGAAACTTCATTATGTGGGAATTTGCCACAAACCGCTATCTTGTTGGTCACTTAAAATATTATTTTGCTACTTTTTCCATCTTATATTTATAATTTCAATAAATAATTTTGTTGTGTTATTTATATAATAAATTTCGTGAGCATTTTACTTTTATTGCCTGATCTTGCCTTATTATCAAAAAAACAGATTTCAGCTGCTGGTATTTGAAAACTGGATCAGTGCATGTCTCTTGTGAAGCCTTGTTTTTCATTGTGCATCCATTTTGTTGTGTCCTACCTGTAGCTCATTAGACTCAGTTTTTACATCTATGTGGATTTGGAAAGGGAATATTTTTTTATAGAGTATGAACACAAGGTGGGATTCCCTTGGTGCTAAAATACACTGAATGACAGCTGACTGAAGCACTGCTCCTGTGGAACTACTTTTGCCTTAGAACCAAATGGACACTTAAGGAGGTTGCTCCCATTGCACAGGTGTCTGTGTCAATACTGAGAAATGTGATATGTTTTATGATGCATGTGTGGCTGTTTATAACCAATTAAAAAAACACATACAACCTTCAGTACTAAGTGGTATACAAAGTGCACTGCTATACACTGCAAAAAAGTATTGTCTACATTTGCTAGAATTATTTTTAATTCAGGGGCGCAGCAACGGTCTCTTAAAGGACACATATTATGGATTATTTGTAGTGTTACTGGTCTATAAACATGCTCTTGAATGCCTTAGCTTTGACAATTCATGCTTTAGAAATTAAAATATTGCCTGTATTAAAAAAAAAAAATCACAATACGTACACAGATACACAGATGGGTTCTCTATACTGGCATTTGGTGCTCGCCATCTGCTGGCAGAAGTGGGAAAAAACGCTTGCCATACGAACAACTTACACATAATATTAATGCTGTAAAAGCATTTTGTTTTAATGAACATGATTTAACAGTAGAACTACTCAGAATGAGGGTGATTTATGGACAAAAAGACAGTGCAGGAGATGTACAGACTTTTTCCTTTGATCACAAAGGTGATCTCATAAACAGAATTAATGAAACATGCGTGAATGAAGCTACTTCAGGTAGTAACTTCAGGTATGCTTTTGATGATGGAACTTTCTAATATAGTTAAAAACTCAAAACTGCTCAGTTTGTGTCCTTTAAGACCCAGACAAAACATCAAAGGTAGCCCCCCAACCAGATTTCACCACACTAAATAAATCTAGTGATGGCAAAAATAAGAACATCTTACTATTACTTATTGTGGGTCCACATATTTGGAAATATATACATAACACTTGCTGTCAATAAATACCTAGTACAACTGTTGAACCAGTATGGACTTTAGGGGGCATCTGCTTTGCCTGCCTTGCTTATTGGCTAGCAATGCCCCTGCTTGAATTCAGAAAATGAATCTCAGTTTGACTAGTTTTGATTTATTTGTTGACCACTTTCAATATCTTACTTTTCATTTCAAATTTACTTGCCAATCAGTTGATAAATTTGCACTTATCCTATGGGCGTATGTATTCTTCTATCTGAAACCAGTAAGAAATTGCATTAAACACATACATTGCATAATGTAGGTCATACAAATAATAACAATAAAAAAACTCAAAATGACTGCAAATTAATGTTCTGATTTCAAGTACTTTTTACCCATGCTAGATATTTGTTTTTGCAGTGCATACATCTGCATTATTTGTCATTCTAATAGAACTCTGGTGTGTGTATATTGTGTAAAATGTTGAAGATGAATATCTGTGCCAAGAAGACCCTACCCACTAGCTCCTGTAGTGCAAAGACCAGTTACCTGCAAGACAAACCATTAAATGCCACACAGAAAACACGACCAAATGTCTATACTGATTTTTCTGCACCAAATAATAAGATTTGTGGACATAAAAATGAGTTCAGAGTTACATTTTAAGTTGAGCATTTTTACCAATATTAGTTGCTGTTATATTGTGTAATAGGTTAGCTGAAGAGCTGGAGGGCAGGTCAGGATTCGTTTTAATTACAGGGGATTTTGAACTAGTTTATGGTTAATATCTCTATAATTACTGAAGTTATAAACAAGAAACCTGACACAAGGTTAAACATCTTGCGGAGTAGCACAAATGAATTGCATAAAAAGTTATAGGAATATTTTTTCACCACCATGTGACTGTTGTCAAGATTTTAGAGGTGCGCTGTATAACTTTTGTGGTGAATGGTCTATTGCCTGTTTGTCTCATGAAAATAGTTTTGCTTTCACTGGAATGTTCCACAGTAAAGCATTAAACTTATTCATCTTCCATTCATTCAATTAAAAGTATTTTTATTTTTTTATTATCAAAAATTACATAGTGCCCTTTAAAGCCATAGAATTTATATGGCAAGTCAATGAATTTGGGTTTGGAGATTTCTTTCAAAAACAGGAAATTATCCATACTTATACATTGGCCCGTTCTCCATCTGAAATTAATTATCTAAACTTTTATGTACAATTTAAATATACCCAATATATAACCTGAATCATGAACAAAAGACTTAAATTCATAATTAACAAATGGATTTATTAAGAATGATAGCAGGCTTAGTAACTACTTAATAAATATACTTCAGATATATTAGATGTACAAACATCTATTTCATACCTTGACTGGATGTGTTGACTGCACTCTGCCATGTTCCTCAGAAGTGCCACATGCCATTGCTGTGACGTATCTGCTCACCTGATTTAAATAGAATTTGTTGCTGTCACCTACTCCTCTCAAGCAGGAAGACATCTGCAGTTCCATTTCTTCAGAACTGTATCCCAGGTGTGACCAAGTCCCAATTTACCGTCTGGTAGGTACATTTCCGGATCTCGATGGCCTTCCGGATCCAGCAATGGTACTTGCCCCAATCCATGAGATGGTTTCTCCTCTTGATATGGAGAAAACAAAACTAAGTGTGAAAAAGAATAAAACAAAACATGCATCCTAGCCACACAGCGACAATCTGACCATATCAGACCACTGCAATATCTGCACCATCTCATGGATTGGAGCATGTCATAAGCACAGAAAGCAACAAGTACCATCGCTGGATCAGGCCACTGAAATCCAGAAATGCTCCCACCAGACTGTAAATTGCGATGAGGGGCATACCTACTCTCTCACACAGTTCTGAAAAAATGAGACTGCAGGTGGAAAGCAGTGCCAAAATCAGTGTGAGGAGACACGTCACAACTACATCACATGATTGGTTGATTGGTTGATTGATTGATAGCATTTATATAGCGCCTTTCAAGATACCCAAAGCGCTTTACAGTTCATTATTCAGTCACTCCACACTCAGTGACATGACAATTCTGGGGAAGATGGCAGAATGCAGCCGGGTAGATGGGGTATGAGACTAATAAAAGGCTTGTACATAAGAATTTTAGGTATAATCTTAACAGACCTAATGAGACTTCAAAGCTTTACTCTGCCCATAAGCAAAATTTGAGAAATGCTCAACCCCCCCCCCCCCCCCCCCACTATTTGTTCATTATTAACACTTTACTAAGGATTTATTAAGATCTAATTTACGAAAGTGTTATTATAAAGTGGTATTTTAAAAATAAATATTAGTTTGGACTTTTGCATGTTCAACACTGTGAAGTCATTGACACTGTTTATGTTTATGTTATTGTTTATGAGAACTACTGTGAACATATTTTGCCCCATTTTAAACAGGTGTGACTGGATCGGCGAGGACATCCACTTACCTTTATAGGATCTGCTCAATTAGTGTGAGCACTCAAGTCACAGATTTTGTAGCGAACACAACACATACAAAGGCACAAGTTAACCACAAGAGGGCGCCCGCTCAATGTGAAACCAGGACAGGACAAGGATTTCACACAAGGGTGCAATATCACACTGTATGTGTGCTTGGGTCCTGTGGATTGTAAACAGAAAGAAAATAAAGCAAATAAAAATTATTTGTTTATAAAATCATGTTGTGACAATGATCCTGGCTTAAAATGACGTTACTGTAGCTTTAATTTGTTTAAACATTTGTTTATATGGTAGGCACTTTCACCAGTGTCAGTCATGGATGAGGTCAGTGAGTTCAGTGGCCTGTGTGGCCTGTGTCCGTCAAATCTACTTTAACTGTGTTCTTTAGCTCCACCTACCTGTCATCACGTGTCATAACATCAACAACAACAGAGCTGGGTCTGAAGTGCACATACACATACTACCACTAGGGTACAATCCAAATATCATAAAATTATACAATTTAAAATAATGTGTGCACTACAATCATGTGTTCAACACATGATTGTAGTGCTGTGAAGTCAATAAAATTTTAATCAAATTGTGATTCAGTGGTTTTTGGGTTTTTTTAAATTGGGCCTTTAGTAATCCTCTGTCAGAAAACAAAGTTTACGCATTGTTGGAATAACACAGTATGGCATTAAACCAATTGCTTGGAGACAAGCAGGCAATGCCACAATTCAGATCAATGATAAAGCGATCCTGCTCACGGTAAGAATGCATGTTTTACAATACAGTTCCAGCTATAAAAAGACCTTTAAGTGAATACATGCAAGATAGACAAGTTTAAAGCCAAACATACCAGGTAAAACCATAAAATATCCATAGAGGCAACACAGCCCCTCTACCAGAAAGTGCACCTATAGTGCAGTGAAGTAAAGAGTCTAAAAGTGAAAAGTAAGAATTGTTGTCTATTCAAAATCAATATTGAAAGCTATATTTTTTAAAAGAAAAAATAAACTTGAATAAAAAAGGTGATTAATATGAAGAAAAGCCCATGCCTACTTTTGTATTCTTCTTAATAAAGTATGACGCTATATTGTGTGGTCAATATTTCTATAGTATGTGAAATGCATAATATGGCCATTTATTTTCAAGTGGCTACCTACATCCATTGTTCTAGACCCCAAGAGAGCATAAACATAATTTTGGTCACATAGCATCTTTAATACCACCATTATAATAATTAGGATATCAAAAGTATCGAGTATACATACATCATTTGCATTGCGGTACACAAATCGGAACTGATTCATGTTTTTTATATCTCTCATTCATTGTTCTCGGGTTGGCCTTTTATTGTCTCATTGTGACATTTGTGCTGATAACATAGAACTGTCCTGCTCAACTGACGCTATTTCCAGAAGGAGAACATTTAATCGGACATGTATCGTTAAGTAATATAAAAAAGTTTTTGATATTTCCAAATGTAACTTGAATCCTATAGTCTACTACTTTCCAATACCAATATTCAAGAATCTGGTTATATTCCAAACTAGAGTCCATGTCACCAAAAACTGAATAGTACTTTTACTTCACTCCAACGGCTTCCTCTGTGTTATTATCCTGTGATTTTTTTTATTTCATTTTTTTGCAGTAGAGTTTTTGAAGCTGTGAGAACAGTCTCTTTGAGCCATGCCAGTTTATTGTAACAGTCCCAGTTAGAATTGAAAATGGGTGGTGGATGCGTGTATGGGTGTCCGTGTGTTCCATATAGTGAGGTCCAAAAGCGTGAAAAAGGCCCATGTCTCTCTCTCTTTCCCCGCTGTCTCCCCCCACACCTGTGCCCCAGTGTGGGTGGTGGGTGCTGCCTGTCAGACGCTGGTGATGGAGGCTAGGCAGTTGGAGGACTTCTGGAGCTTCTCAGGCTGCGTGGTGGGGGGCTCGGGAATGGCACGAAAGCTGAAGGGCAGTCCCATACTACTGGTGCCGATGTGGCCAGGGCTCAGAGCGGGATTCTGCCGTCTATTGCTCTCCACTATGCTGGATGTGTTGGACGCAAGGCTTTCACGTGTCCTACAGGGGGAAACATGTAAGGATAATATGTTTAGTTGGAAAAGAAAATACCAAAATGCAATGGTAAAAATGAAACTAAATCACTCAATATCCAGTAGCCAGCACAGTTCTTAGCTACAAAGAGGATTAGAGCTAAAATACAAAACTATTTTAAACCATATATTGCAGTCTAGAAATGGATAATCCCACAATATTAAAGCCACAAAACCAGATAAACTGTACTGGCAGAGAGAGAAATAAATGCCAAAGGGATGTGAGAGGGATGTTTTGTTGAACAATGTAATTCTATGCTGACTATCTGTCACATTTTGAAATAAATGTCATATTCATATTGATAAATGAGAATGAAATAAGTAGTGTTGTAGTCAACTAAAGAGATTCTTGGTTGACCAAAAGACCAAAGGCTGACTAAAAAGCTGTCATTCACTTATTCTAGTTTTCAACTATATTTATTCAAACTGCGTCGCCCTATCCATATTTTGAGTGCAGTTGTTTATAGACCTCCCAAAAACAACAAGGATTTTGTTACTGACTTTTCAGATTTTTTGGCTGACACAGTGCCAAATTATGACAAAATGGTAAATGGTAAATGGTCACATTTTTCTATAGCGCTTTTCCACCTTCACGGCACTCAAAGCGCTTTACAACAAGGAACCACTCACCCATTCACACACACATTCATACACCAGTGTACACAGACACTGTGGAAAAGGTGGGTTAAGGACAAAATCCTAACTGTTGGTTGCTTTAATATCCACTTCTGCTACCTTGACAAGCCACTGGCTAAAGATCGCATTGACTCGTTTGGGTTTGTGCAATGCATTTCTGGCCCTACCCAGAAGTGTGGTCATACGCTTGATCTTGTGTTGACTCATGTATATTAAAAATCTTGAAACATATGATACTGTGTTTTTTGATCACATGCCTGTTGTTTTTAACATTGATGTGCTGTGCATAACTACCAAACACTGTGCTCCTGCACGCTGCTGTCGTGTACTTAACCCATCCACTGCTGCTTGGTTTTCTGCTGCATTTACTATTAACATTGACCAGTCTGCATGTGTTGATACCAAGGCTTTATCCTCGAGCTTTTATTCTGTTTGCCAGACGGTGGTAGAGTCTGCAGCTCCACTAAAAGCCAGGTCACCCAAACCTAGACTCGAGCCCTGGCTAAATGAATCTACATGGGCTGCCAGACGCAAATGCAGACAAGCCGAGCGCAAATGGAAAAAAAGACAAATTGGAAGTGTTATGGCAAATTCTAAGAGAGAGCTGATGTCTTTATCAGAGCAATGTAAAAACTGAAAGAGGCATGTACTTCTCTAATGTTATTACAACTAATTGTCACAAGCCTCATGTATTTTTTAAGACCACTTACTCTATTTTAAATGTGCCCCAGCCTATATGTTTGGAACCCTCATTAGAGATTTTTTGGGTAGAGAGCTCTAGAGCATTTAATAAGGTTCCATCCTATGACCCTTCAGTGCATGTTTCAAGTCCTGCTAGTTTTGAGCACTTTGAGCCTGTGACTCTCCCTCAACTTAAGAACACTGTTGCTCACATGAAGGCTGAAGATTCTCCCAATGACCCGCTACCTCTTCGTCTGTTTAAAGAGGTTTTTGTCTCTTTGGTTTCTGCAGAGCAAAACAGTAGTTTGTCTCTGCATATTTTAAACACGCCGTGGTGCATCCTCTGATAAAGAAACCTAGCCTTGATTCATCTGTGTTTTCAAATTTCAGGCCTATTTCTAAGCTTCCTTTTCTTTTAAAAATACTGGAGAAAATTGTTCTGTTGAATTGAAATAATTTTTAGATGAGCACAACTTTTCAGTCTGGTTTCAAGATACACAGCACAGAATCTGCCCTCCTGTGTTTTTAAATTGCATATTTGTTTCTTCTATGCTGGTGATTCTGTTGTTCTCATACTGTTGGATCTGACCGCTGCATTTGACACAGTGCACCATGAGATTTTTCTCTCCCGGTTAGAGCACTGGGTGGGGATTCATGGTCCAGCCCTGCTATGGTTTAGGTCATACCTGACTGACAGTCATTTCTGTGTTGGTTTTGGTAATTATGTTTCTTCCTTTACACCCCTGTCATACAGTTTTCCCCAGGGATCAATACTAGGTCCTTTGCTTTTTCCCTTTATATGCTCCCTCTGGACACCATTCTGATGAAGCAAGGCATCACATTCCACTGTTATGCTGATGACAGCCAGAGATATCTGCCATTAAAGAAACAGGATCCACAGGCTGCCAGACCACTTTTAGACTGTATCAGTGACATAAAATCTTGAATATCACGTAACTTTCTGCACTTTAATCAGGAAAAATCTAATTATGTTTTTTGGCCCTAGCTCTTCAAATTACTCTTCACCTGTGGACCTGCATTCACTAAATCATTTAGTGAAGCCAGTTGTTTCAGACTTAGGTGTCAAAATGGACCCTGATCTAAAATTTGATCAGCAAATTAGTGCTGTTGTAAAGTCTATTTTTTTCCAGCTAAGACAACTGGCCAAAATTAAGCCCATTTTCTCAACAGAACATGAAACACATGCATTTGAAATACATGCATTTGTGACCACCAGATTGGATTATGGTAATGCACTTAATGTTGGTGTCAGCCAAAATGGACTTTTATATGTTCTGTCAATCATCATATCATTGTTGCACTGTCTTCCCATGACCTCTTACATATAGCTGAGATTTTATATATATTGTGGGTGGGTCCAAAACAGTGGCTCGACTTTTAACTGGAACCCAGAAACACAAGAACATCTCGCCTATTTTTGCCTCTCTCCATTGGCTCCCAGTGTACTTTAGAGTTGAGTTCAAAATTATTTTATTTACCTTTAAATGTTTGCACGGCCTAGTGCCCTCCTACCTCGCTGACCTGATCCACCCTTACGCCCCCTCTCGCACTCTCAGGTCAGCAGACCAGCTCCAGCTTGCCATCCCAAACACTAAACGCAAGCTTCATGGGGACTGTGCGCTTTCTGTTGCTGCCCCACGGCTTTGGAACTAGTTGCCATTAGAGATTAGACAGATCGAGTCTGTACCTGTTGTTAAATCACTCCTAAAAACGCACCTTTTTTACTGGCTTCTTGTTGCTGAGTATCTTACTGTTTTCTATGTTATTTAGTACTTGTATTGTGACTTTGACTGCCAGCTGTAAAGTGCTTTATGAATAAAATTAGTATGGTATGGTATGATATGGTAAAAAGGAGGCGTGGCAAAAGCTCTCAAAACTGTAATGTAGCTCCATGTATCTGACCCACTCACAAGACTATACCTGCACAGGAGTTTATACAGAAACAACTATTTAGGCAGAAAGCACAAGGAAACTATGTGTTTATATATTAAACTTGTGAATTAAACTTGTGAATCTACCTTTTTTATAAATACCAAAAAATAACAAATCTTCAACCCACTCACTTCTCCTTTCTGTTGTTGTTCCATATAAATACATAAAATATTTTATTGACTAATATAAGTTTTGGTCAACAAATACACCTTTGACTGATTAATTGACTTAACGACTAGGTGACTACAGCTCTAGAAATACATGAGGTGATTTTGGTTTGCAGGTGTCACTGATGATTGAACCATCTGAGCAGTATTATTAGTTTCTTCATATACAGTTTAGCATTCAAAGTTTTTAAACAACAGACTTATTCAGAAGGCTCATGCTGTAAACTAACATTGTAAGCTAGCTTCGCGCAGGGATGCATAGACATGGCATTAGCCTATGGGAGACTCATCACTCTTCCTTTAGCTTGTTCTGTGTCCAATGGAATTCAAGCGTGTTTCACTATAATAGCATTTAGGCAGATTTTAGCTTGTTGCAGGGTTTTGCATAAAGTCATTTTCTAATGTAAAATAGGGATGCACCGATCCAGCTTTTTCTGCTGATATTTATTAACTCAAAACAAATACAATATATAGCAAATTTTATTCAGATGTGTTGTGTAGTAGCTGTTATTTATTCTGCAATTAACCACAGAACAAATGTGCATAAATAAATGTTTATTATTATTATTATGTTCACATTATGGGATTTTCTGGGCCAACTATGACCAGTAAAACAGACCAGTTTTATTACATCAATTTTATGGACAACCAACATATCGGCTGAGCTGATATTTGGAAGCCGATATCCACTCCAACAAAATTTTCAGTATTGGTAGCTATATCTGATACCAGTATCAAATCGGAGCATCTCTAATGTAAAATTGCAAAACAATCACTGAAGCCTGGTCATCCTCGAGTAATAATTTACAAAAATAGATTACTATTTATATACATGGATTAATTAATTTGACTGGAAAAGTATGTACATCCACTGATATTATTCAGTGTGAAGCAATTTGGTCCCCTCTCATCTGAAAGTTCAGACAAAATCCTCATTTTGCAGTTTGTGTTGATGGAACGCGTTTGGACGCAAACAAGCAGTGATGATGTCACACTTAACGATCCCAAAGCTTATTCAATGTCTGCACACATTTACAATATCTTCCAGTAAAGTACCACAAACTAGTTCTATTCTCTGAATCAGATTAAAATGTGGGTTCCTAAGACCTCTAGCTGCTTCACACCATCTGGGCATAGACATGCATTTATTCTGTTAAGCTATAAAAGCTCTGAAAGAAGCAATTTTTGATAAATAATAAAAAGGTTTAGTCTATGACTATATCCAATATTCATCCAGTACCTAAAGACAATGGCTGTATTGAAATCAGTGACAAATGCATTACTAGTGAACTGATTAGTGTAAATGAGTAGAGGTTGCATGCATTTGTAGTGCACAGACCTGGGGGAGTTAAAGCCACTGTCCACAGTGACACTGCTGCTGTCCATGCTGTCCAAGCGGGCCGAGTGGGCTGACTTCTGACTGCTGCTGTTGTCCGTCTCCTTGGGGCTGAGGAGGGTCAGGTTGGTTTCCAGTTTCCTCTGCAAGTCATGCTCCTTCTCTCGCTCCAGGAGCCATTGCATGGTCCCCTCCCCGCCCCCTCCTCCAACTCCACCTGTCCCACCCCCCTCACCATGCTCTTTGCTGTCCTCGGGTGTCGCCAACTCCTTGTGCGAGTCCTCCTCGGCCTCCTCTTCATCCTCATCGTCTGATACATTATAATAGTCGAAGGAGGCGGAGGGGACGGTGGGCTCCAAGCAGCCCTGTAGAACTGCTGGGGATGCGGAGGAAGTGGCTGAATTGGAAGGCTGCTGGGGCTCAGGATTGTCAAGGGCCTCTGTTGATTTGGCATGTGAGGCTTTCCGCAATGTGCCAGACTTGGTGTAGCTGCTGTCCACGAAGCCTGCGGACAAGGCATTGTGTGGAGGTTTGAACAAAGTGTCTTTGCTGAAGATCTCCTTCCTCTTGATGACCAGTCCTCCGCCCCCCCCTCCAGGGTCCACATTGTGTTGGTGTGGTGTCAAACGTGCATTTTGCGCGGGCTCTGGTGTCTGGCTGGGCGTCAGGCGCACAGAGCCGCTCTGTCCTTTTGCTGCCGACATGTCCTCTTTGTACTCCATCGTGTGAGGAGAGGTGAGGTGAGGCGTTTGGCGGTCAGCTGGAGAGCCCTTTCGGAGTCCCCCTGATGAGGTTAATGTGTCATATTCTGATTTTGCCTGAGGCGAAGGGGCAGTTAAGATTGTTTCATTTGATGTATTGCACTGGAAGTACTCATCTGTTGAGGGCTTCGGAGAAAGTCCCATTAGCTCATTGTACGTAGGCAAACTGTCTCTGCTTTTGTTCCTCTCTATTGTACTCCGGATCCTTGATTCATCTAAAGTCCCCTTCCCCAAATCAGGCACATTAAAGTCAGAGTGGAACTTAGCAGCAGAGAACATGATCCTTGAGTAGTGGGAGGACTTTTGTGTGGCCCGCAGAGTTCCATCGTCAGTGTAGTAATGACTGCGCTCCTCCATCGGAGCTTCAAACACCTCCGGAACGCCAAGCGATGGGCCTTTAAGAGAGTTGTCCATGGAGCGGGAGCGTTCCTTGGCCTGATCTGATCTGTCATGGCGGGACTTACGGTCCTGATTGTGACTGTGACTCCTCTGCACTCTGGACTGGCAGGTCCCACGAGAAGGCTCAGGAAAGGGCATCTCTGTGCGTCTCTTGGCAAGCTCCCCGGACACGTCCCACTCGGGGGCCACAGGGCAGTATGATTCTGTGATGTTAGGATTGCTGTGGACTAGGTAGGTGTTCCCTCCACTCCGCCTCCGCTCCAAAGTGTACATGGCCTCCCGAGGTGAGCGCACCAGTGAGTGGCTGAAGAAGCGGTAGTCTCTCTCCATGAAAACCAGGTCCCAGTTTGACCCCTCTGAGGGGTCTCCCCTGGAGGTGCGAGGTTTACTGTGTGAGCGAGACTTTCCATGTGGGGCCCTTCTGTGGCCCCTGCCCCTGCGACTGCGGGCGCTGTGCTGAGCAGAACCCGCCTTGTTCTTCTGAGCACGCTCTTCTTCTAACCTCTTCATGACAGCTGTGTGCCGGGCCACATTCTCTACTGTTAGGTCGGGGTTAATTCTGCGGATGATTTCCATCTCCACTTCTCGGGGAATGGGTGTAGTTGGAATGTCCTCGTCATGAAGAGGCCACTCCTCTGGGGGAAACTGAGCTGAAAAGGTTGCTAATTGCCTCAATTTGTCCTTCTTAAAACTCAACCTAAAGAGTCGGAGTCCAAACCTTTTGGACTGCTTCTCTGCGGTTCCACTCCCACCACTTCCCTCCTTCTTTTTGGTCAGGGTGTCTGTTTTGTAGGGGAAAGAGGGGAGACTTTTGCTCTTGTCGGCAGGGTCTAAAGCAGGTGCTTGGTGCTGGACTGGAGGGGAAGTGGCTGGAGGTGGATAGGGGTATGATGGTGGATCACCTCTGTGCTCCTTGGTGGATGTTCCAGGTGGAGGATCTCCATTGTGATCCTTGCTGGGCTTACTTTGATAAGAGTCCACCCTATGCTCCTTTGGTGACTTGGTTTGAAGCGCAGAGGCGTGCAGTCTGCCTGGGTCATCACGAAAAGCATAGGATTCGTTGTGAGGCTTGCGGGCCGGCCTCTCTCTAAGGCAGCCCGGGGCTGAATTGGTGGTGGGCGGGGAGGTGCAGGGTTGGCTGGGCTGCTGGGGCTGCTGGGATGGCTGTTGGCGCTCAGGGAGCCGGTCGTCTAGGTGATACCACTTGTTGTTGCTCCGGATGAGGGAGGGGGTGATGAAGTAGGTCTGGGGGGTGACAATGAAGTAGCCCTCTGGAGTTGGGTAGATCTTACGTTCTCTCACCAGCATGTTCAAAGTGTGTCGCAGAACCTCCGAGCTGGGTGTAGGCACGCCTGAAACAAAACATAATACTGATGTCACATGCTTAGAAATATTTGAGTACTATCCATTTGGATGTAAAGGCTTCCTCTTCATTGATTCATAGTGCTAAACTGTGTAGACGTCAAAGTAGTTATTATAATGTACAATATTGTAAGCATTTTATATTTGTTGATTAGACTGATATGTGCACTTTTTAATGAGCTATCAGCCTTAAATCTCCAGCAGAGGCCGGTATTTTTTTTTAGCTGCCCTGCTGCCTAGAGAAACACATGAAGCTTATTTGTGACTACACTGCTCTCTGTCAGGTTAGTGCTAAACAAAGGTGTGGGTGAGTTTAAAGTAAATGTAAGCTACTTAATTTAGAGGAACTGTCAAGGTAGCACCTACATAGCTAAACTAAAATTCTGACAGCCCTTATCAGTCAATGGTTTCTCTTGATTCTAAACAATCAATATCAGCATGGGTCATGACAAAACCCATGATGAGCTCTAATTTAAAAAAAACAAACAACAACAGGTATTTCCAGTGTTTCTTCTACATATAAATGTCTTACACTTAAACATGCTCAGTTTTTTTTCCACAGTCAGTGTGACAGTCAGTGTCATTAAAGACAACACATCTATGCCTCTGCCTAATTTGATTTGTTCACCTGCTTAAATTGGCACTGTCTTTCATCAGCCATTACCCAACAGATTAAGTACAATCTGCAGCCTATTTTAAAACATTTAAGAGTAACCGTGGCAACAGAGCTAATTTTTCTACTTGAGTGAGTAAATAATTGTAAATTGAGTAGTATTTTATGTATTATTATTGTAATACATAAAATATTGTATATTTAAACATTACAAATCATAACCTTTGTCCAGCAGAGCAGTGTGTTGCCAAGAATTACATCACCCCTGTGTAAGAATTTTACACATGATGCAACCTACATGTTCGACTATTCCTTATTGTGAGTGTGTAGCAATTAAAAGAGATGTTTAAATGATAGTTATATTTCACTATATTTAAATAATCAGTGTAAATACACATGGCAAAGACAGCATGTGTGGGACGGTGCAGAGGAAGTACCTGGAAAGCTGGCAGTGAGGTGCTCCACCAGAGCCTCCTGGTTGACCGGCTTGTGGGCAGAGTTCATGGCAGAGATGGCCAAACACAAGATCTCCCCCAGCGGGATGAACTGTGACTGGCTGATGGGTGACATGGTGATGGGAGACACGTCACCTAGAGAGGAGCACACACGGGTGTCATAGCATGAATGAACAGCAGGCACACGCAGCGTGTGAAGCTATGATGTAATGGTCAAACAGGAGCGTGCTGCTCCACCCCTCCTCTCTGTGCTTCCTTAGCCTCTCATTCCTCCTGCTCCGAGGAGGTTAGCTAAGCAAGCAGCTGCTGCAGCAGCCATCTCTGGATGCTCTAAACCGAGGAAAACAGCAACCAGCATAGTATCCAAATACTATCTATTTACTATGTATTATGTTACATAAGAATAATCAATAAAGCTCAAAAAGACCATTTATTAAACAGTACACAGATTATAATTCCTTCGACCAAAAAGCCTTTCTTTGCATAGAATACCAAGACAGAATGGATGTTCATCCACACAGACATTGTGCTTGTCTCTGATGGTCTACATCTGAGTGCTAGTGAGTAGTGAGCTCTGCTCCAACCTAAAGCTGCGCACACTAACATGTGCCTTACTCAAAGGTTGTAAGGGAAGAGCTGAATGAATCGGGGGCTCCTTCACCTGCGCTGCAGTGTCACTGTCCTCTGACTACGCCACAACAAACACACGCACACACACGTCTTTTCTATTGTACACTGGACCAGCTGTACATCCAAATAATGCTCCTCTATGAAAGATCTCACATTGACGAGCTGTTACACTAAAGCACTAATCTGAGGCCTGCCTTGGCTATTGTGCAGTTGAATGGTCAGTTAAGCAACAAGATGACGTTATCTCTGCTTAGTATCAC